ATCCAGGTGCACTTTGTAATCATAAACACAAGAGAGAGAGAGAGAGAGAGAGAGAGAGAGAGAGAGAGAGAGAGAGAGAGAGATGGGGTAGCAAGGAGAGAGTAAGGAAAAGAAAAGTAATGATGAGCTTATATCTTTATGGCAGTGCTCTTCTATTTTCAATGTTCATGCCATTTGTATGTAATACTAACAAAGACACACATATTAGGGCACTGACTTACATTGCCAAGTTACCAGTTCTATTTATATTTTGCCTCTGCTTCCTTCACCACCCCACTCCCTCTTCACCTCCCAAAAAATGAACCTTTACAATGAAATCTATATCCCGATTACTTACACAAAAATGCACCCTCCCAGCCCATCCCTGAGTTAATTCGATCATGAAAACGGAGATAGAAAACCCTTGCAAAACTCATTTTGTGATATATTGGGATATCAACCTCTCCCATGTAGTAACGGGGAATGTAAGTGAAAACAGAACAGCATAAAAGGGTAGTTAATGTTGCTTGAAAGGTAATAGTAATTCAGGTGATAGCGGGTCTATGTGCTACATTTTAAAACGTGTATACAAATTATAGTAATTAGTGTATAGTGCGCGTGTGTGCGCCTGTAGGTATATATATATATATAGAGAGAGAGCAAAGGACCTTTTTCCACGCTTTTCAGGCGTATTGGGTGTATAGGGCTAGACCTAATTTTTATTATAGACCAAACGGCACTTGATGGGTGATGTGGTCAGCACCACAACGGCCGTCTTTACTTCCCAGGACTGCACCTGGTACCCACTCAAGGATGGGTCGACCTGGGAGCCAAGGTCATTTTTGAAAAAAAAAAACCACGACCTTCTGATCCGCAGGCGGGCGCCTAGCCGCCAACTGTACAGCGACTCCCATGTGTATATATGTATAGGATAGACCATATTATCAAATATTTTTGTAATAGAAAATATATGACGAAAACAATTCAATCATGTATCAACATCCGTGAGAAAAACATGAAGAAGCAGTACAAGCAAATGTTAGCCCCAGTAATAATAGAACAACAAAGTAAGAAGGAAGTATAACACGGTGATAGTATATATCAGATTACTGTAATCACGGTGGGACAAAAAGAGACATCCAGATATCCAGTGGTGTCAGTAGTAACAAGACAAGGAAGGTGGCTCTAGAACTGGACATGTCGTAAGATAAAGCAAGTAGAGAATCACCAGACAGGCAGTGAAATAGAAAACAAATAGACTGAGAAATCGAGAAGGTACAAACTCGTTAAACAGAGGTTGACGAGAGATGCCAAAGGCACTCTACTGAACGCCAGCCATGATCTAGAAAGGACTGCACAAAAAGAACCACTTACACTGAACTGTTACTGAGTTATGGTGTTTTTAAATTGTCACACATAGACGGAAGTCAACGATATCGCTACATAAGCTATTAAGTTAAGTGCTTACTGCAGCACTGTAAGCTGTGTGTGTGTGTGTTTAAAAATGTGGAATACCTTTCATGTGTGTATCGGATATGTCTTCGTATTCAGCAATTGCGGGTAGCTGGTTTAGGCGTGGGCTCACGAAATACCGTGTGTAATTATTTTACATGTGCATGTCCAACTTATCGTGACCAACTGCTTACATCAACAACAAACTGTATTTCTGGCGGCAGCTGTTGACTTTGGCGCCTTAAGTTTTTTTTTTGTAACCATATTTATGGATTACCTTCTTCTTCTTCTTCTTCTTCAGCATTCCGAGCCCTTTAGGTTCGCTGCTGCAGATATCACCCGCCTCCACTCATCTATCTAGTTTGTCTTATCTTTCTAGTTGGTGACACCAAGTGTTTGTAGGCCTGTCTGGACATTATCTCTCCATAATGGTCTTGGTCTACCTCGTGGTCTACGACCATTCAGCTCCCTTGAGTATAAAGTTTTTACCTCAATGTAATCTGACATTCTCTCAATATGCCCCAGCCATGTCAATCTATTAGCTCTTACGATCTGAGTGATCAGTGCTGATTTCAACAGATTATACATTTCGTTGTTGCTTCTCATTTTCTATTCCCGCTGTTTACATCTGTGATAAGTAATAACTAAGTAAATTTACCCACGAGGACATCACACAGAGCGGTAAACACCCAGTGACACAAAGTGTCACCGAGCGAATGTGGATCACCCGTGGAGAAGTCCCGAAAACCCCCTTCAACTGTTAGTTTATATTAGGGCCCCCGGCAACAGCCAGGGAATGGGCTTCAAAATAAGGACAAATTGCATCCCACAAGGGGACGATTTATATAATAATGTGATAAGTCCAAAGGTTCCTCATAACATTCTGTTTTATAAAACCTATATAAGTCTTCATCTCTTTCAGTTGTGCTCCAAGTTTCAAAACAACTGTTCTTTTCAAGGTTTTATATATTTTGATCTTGGTGTTGCGAGACGGACACTTTGACTTTAGCAGATGTTGAAGAGCATAGTATACTTTATTTCTAGATTGTATTTTAGATGGTATTTCTTCTCTCGGCATGTTGGAGCAGCTGAAGTACGCACCCAAGTTTTTATATGTTTCTATTCGTTTGATTTTCATATTATCGACTTGTATGTGGCCGGAGTTTAATTATTTTCCCTGTCTTGTTATTATGATGTATATTTTTGGATTATGCCGGGACTAATTGCTTTGTTAATAAGATTTTCACGTGGTTCAATGAGGTACATTTTATTTAATTTTCTCCAGCACAGGAACGGAGTAAATGTGGGGTGACCTGATTGCAATGATGTTGAAATCTTCTGCTAAGAAAAAAAAAAAAAAAACTCGTATATATCCACGAATCATCATCATCACCATTATCATCATCAAGCGCCTTTTGACTGATGTAGACGACGATAGCTCTCCACAATCTGCTATCTTTAGTAACATGTTTCAGTTCGTGTGTTGACACCCCCTTCATGCCACGACACAGGACTGCCAAGAAACGTCTCGAGCTGTCTTTCTCTGTCTTTTTTCCCCATAGATCTTTTCAGTGGTCACAACATGTTGTTTCCTTTTTCCTCACAACGTTACCAAAAATAGCATGAATGTCTTTATCAGATGTTTGCAATAAGTTGTCTTCGGACCCTTCCCTCTTTCAAAACATCTCGGTTGCTCTTTTCCATATCTGTAAATGCGAAATCTTTTCCATATCTGTAAATGCGAAATCTTTTCCGTATCTGTAAATGCGAAATCTTTTACATATCTGTAAATGCGAAATCTTTTCCATATCTCTAAATGCGAAATCTTTTACATATCTGTAAATGCGAAATCTTTTTTTACATTTCTGTGAATACTTTTTTCCCCCTCCATATTATTTAATTCTTTTATTCTTGTACAAAGATGATGAGAAATATTGACATCTTTGAAGATCTGAACATCAAGGAAGATCGGCTAATAAACACCATCCTTTCTCGAAAGCTGAACTATTTTGGTCATATCAAGCGCCACATTGGATTGGAAAAAATTATAGCAGAAGGCATGGTACCAGGAAGGAGGGGCAGAGGCCTTCCGACACGAAGACGGGCACAGGATTTAAGTGACTCCTTGAGTGTGAAAGTGCATGAGGCGGGATAACTGGCGAGAGACCGAGTTTCTTTCAGGCAGACTGTGATGAGAGCTACGCTCTGCAAAGGACCTGCTACATGATGATGATGATGATATTCTTTAATACGAGATCTATTCCATATCTGTAAATACTGGGTCTTTTTATATCTGTCAATGTGAGATCTTTCCCATGTATATAAATACGGTGTTATAGCATTTTTTTTTTTTAATAATGAAAAATTGCCTTGGAATCTTTTCTGACAAATATGCCAAGACGTTCACCGATCATTAGCATATCTGTGCAAACATACGTTTCGTAACTCTCCATGCCTAACATAGCAAACATGAAAAAGCTACGGAATTCGCACTCGGATTTCAGAGAAAATTGAATCTCAGCATGCGGTTTCAGATTCCTGGCTAGTAATCTCGCACTTCTAGAATCGGCGACTGTTAAAACAACGGCGGTAAAGAACTCTGAGCCGTGCTCGGTGTCAGTGGTACTATCAGTTCATGATCTGCTGTATTTAGCAATGAAATGGAATGGTCCTAGTTAGCAATGATAGGGAAAGGCTGTATTTGACAAAGATGTAAAAAAGATGTTTGTGTCAGTGTTAATGGATGTCTATATTTAACAATAGAGAGCTATGTAGTCTCGAAGCATGGTGTCCGCCTCGAGTGCTAGAGGTTCTGGGTTCAATTCTAGGTGAAGGCTGGGATTTTTTCACATGGACTTGGACTTCTAGTAATTCTCACTGGTCTCTGGGTAGTGAGATCGGACGCCCGTGTGCATTGTTGCGCACGTAAAAAATCCCTTGGCAGTTGGAAATCGAAAAGAGTAGCCTAACGGCACTGCCCGGACAAAATTGTAAGTTTAAAATCTACCAAAAGTATTTCAGGATCCTCGCCGGTGCTGCAGAGCCTGTGCACTTTGCTGAGCTTTTTCGGACTCAGACTTGAGTTAGAAGACAAACGGAGCATTTATGGGCTACTATTCGTGCACCATAATGTTAATACGTTGTTAAAAACTTCAAACTAAACTTCTTTTTAGCAAAGACACTGTATGATGTGTTTAACAATGATATGGAATATATGTGTTTGCAGTGACACGGAAAGGCTGTATTGAATAATATTAAGGAAATGCTGTATTTAGCAATGTATTTAGCATGAATGGATGTAAAAAAGCATTTTAAAAAATCACAAAGGACCATTTGCCACAGTGTACGGCTTCTTGGGCATATAAGGCTAGACCCATATTTAATAGACCAATCGGCCGGTGGTGGGTGATGCGGTCAGCATCACGCCGACTGCCTTTACGTCCCAGGACTGTAACTGGTACACAATCAAGGTCGACCAGCGAGGAAAGGTCGCTCACGACCCCAAACCAAAGACTTCCAGTCAACAGGCGAGCGTGTAAATGGGTGTACTTGGCAGTTATTCTGAAAGCCTATGTTCAGGAATGATACAGAATTAGTATATTTAGCAATATTTGGCAATGCTATGGAATGGGTGTATTTAGTAATGAAACATAATGAACATGCTACGGAGCGGCTGTATTTAGCAGTTACATGGATGGGATTGTGTTTAGCAGAAATACAGAGCTGTAGACTACTGGGTAGGCAAGGGACCAATAATCTGCACACAGAAAAGTCAGGTATGAGAAACAGATCATCAGTTCTCGTTATGCCTAGTGGCACATGAGGCTTCAGAGAGGACTTTCCATGCTTTCCTGTCCTGTGCAATCTTGAGTGCAGTTTTCCATGTCAAAGATGCCGCACTCAGGTCACTTTCCATCGTTCGTCTCCATGTTGTTTTTGGGCGCCCCTGTTTTCTCTTTCCCTCTGGTGTCCATGTGAGAGCTGTTTTGGCAGGTATATCAGAAGTCATTCTCATAACGTGGCCAAGCCATTTCCATCTTCTCTTGGTAATCATACTGTGTAAAGTTTCTTGGTTTGTGGCTTGAAGTAGTTTAGTGTTTGAGATTGTATCTGACCAGAAAATTTTGATAATTCTACGTAGACATGTGTGGTGGAAGGTGGACAGCTTGTGTGCATCCTTTTTGGTCATTCTCCAGCATTCCGCTCTATAAAGAAGAACTGGCAAAATGATGCTCTTGTAGAGTCGGAGTTTCGTTCCTCTGCAGTATTTGTTGGATTTCCAGATTTGCCTCATCCTTCCAAAAGCAGCTCTAGCTTTGTTCAGATGTGACTGTATGTCTTCCTCTGTCCCTCCCAGTAGGGACACCACACTGCCAAGATATGTGAAATGTTCTACATTTTAAAGTGATGGGTTACTTATGGTCACTGGTTGTTGGTTTGGACTGTTTGTCATGATCTTAGTTTTCTTTGTATTTATTCTCAATCCCACCATTTCTGCTGTGCAGTTTAGTCTGTTACGTTTCTCTTGTATTTGTTCATGTTTATGTGATGGGAGTGCTATATCATCTGCAAAATCAAGGTCCTCAAGCATGGTGAATGGAGTCCATCGTATGCCTCTTAATGTCCTGTATACTGTGTTCTTTAATATCCAATCAATCACAAGGTTGAAGAGGAGAGATGACATAACACATCCCTGTCTTACACTCGTCTTTACTGGGAAAGATGTATTGTAATGACGCGTATGTAATACTGGAGTTGTATAACAAAAATTGAGTCTAGAGGTAAACGAAAAAGCAGAAATTTCCGCAGTAATAATAATAATAATAATATTAATAGAAGAAAAAAAAAGAGAAAGAAGAAGAAGAAGAGGAGGAGGATGAAGAAGAAGAAGAAGGAAGAAGAAGAAGAAAAAGAAGAGAAGGATCACTATCAACCGCCGTTTAAAAAAATAGTATTCAAAATATCACTTTTTTTACCATTAATTGGATTACCTTTCGAAAATAATGTACAGTTGTAAAAGGAAATGTGCAGTCTCTAGAATGTGGGTTGGTTGCGATGTATTCATCGATGACTATACGAATATTACTTAGTGAGGTTGTTCCCTTCTTCCTCGTTGCGACTTTCGTATTATGGTCTGAAACCCACGGTAACGGTCTATTTCTAAACTGGCCACAGCCGGAATCGAACCGTGGTATACGTCGAGGGGAAAACAACGAATGAGCTATATTTAAATTAAAAACAACATAACACCATGGCACTTTAAAATTGTATGAGCTCTAAGAATATAGAAGTATCTTACTTCCTGTCTCAACTTTTGGAATGCCTTGCAGCGTCAGAGCAGGAAAAGATCTCTGAAACCGACCTTTCTGTTCGCTTCGTGTATAATACTTTTTAGTATCTCCGATATGTCTACAGTCCAACTTCTGCGTGGTCGACCTCTGACTCGTCGGTTCAAGAGATCTCTTCATTTGTATATCGGCACTGTAGAAACCATCGTCGGTTTGTTGGACCAGTCACAGTGTTTCCAAACTTTCTAGAATAGTCACACGTCAACTAGACTATCACATTTAGACTAGTATTACACAATTCTTTTCTAAGATGTCTGAAATTGACTCTGGTTAGACCAGCAAAAAGTTCAACGCACTTGGTAACTTATAGACAAAAACCTGCTGGAGAAGAACAGTAAAAGCAACAAAAAAACACATTTCACTTACAATTCACAGTACTTTCCCTTACATCTCAGTGTAGATTTTCAAACATTCTCGCAGTATACATACACATACGTGCTGGCTGAATTCCCGGCGAACTCACAGTTAATTTCCAAAGATAGAAAAAAGACCCGCAGGTTTAGAGTCGAGCAGTTACGTGCTTAAAGAACGCGTTAAATAGCTAACTTGGAGGAGACAGCGTTGATTTTAAACTGGCAACTAGATCGTAAATTAAACAACGGAGGCGGGGAACAATTTGGCAGCCGCTGCCCAGGGAAGCAGTTCCAGAACGCCGTCAGACCAATGAGAGAAGGGCTTGTGTACCAGGCGCTAGCGATTCCTGACACATTCCCGAATCAAGAACAGGCTGCTCGATGGGATGGGGGCGGGGCAAGATCAATGCCGCGTCTCTGGGACCGTAGAAGTTCAAAGCGACTTGTGGCTAGAGTATTTTCAAGCTTTCCAGTTTTTTGTGACAGAATCACTACATGCATATATAGGGAAGAGCAGACTGACATTGAGTTTAGCATATACCTTTTTATGTGTATATATGTGTGCAGGTATGTTTGTTTGTCTGTGCACTTGTCAGTATATGTCTGTGTGTGTGTTTGTGTGTGTGTGTGTGTGTGCGTGCGCGTGCTGTGTTTTACCATGACCTTCAGAAATACGACAAAGACAAGCGAAGTGTTCAAGTACAGCGGTACCTCAGCATACGTCCTGTACCTCGACAAACGTCCTAAGTCATTTCCAGAGCCTTAGAACTATACCTGACAAAAACGTATACCAAACAGAAAGTAAAAAAGACAGAAAGTATACCAGACGGAACGTATACCAGACAGAACATATACCAGACAGAACGTATACCAGACAGAACGTATACCATCCAGAACGTATACCAGACAGAACGTGTACCAGACAGAACGTATACCAGACAGAACGTATACCAGACAGAACGTATACCAGACAGAACTATACCAGACAGAACTATACCAGACAGAACCATACCAGACAGAACGTATACCAGACAGAACGTATACCAGACAGAACTATACCAGACAGAACTATACCAGACAGAACTATACCAGACAGAACGTATACCAGACAGAACGTATACCAGACAGAACGTATACCAGACAGAACGTATGCAAATCAAATTATCCTAAAAGACATAAAATAAAAATGCTTAACCCGTTCTCATGAAGAAAAAAAAAAAAAAGCATATTGTTATTTCCTTATTATACATACACTCGTGCATCTGTATACACTAATAATTGTTTAATACTAAAATAAATAAATTAAAAAAAAAAGTATTTAGATTAAAAAAAAAAAATATAAACCTCATTTTTACCTTGCTAAGAAGAATCGAGTGCCTACTCGGAGGAAAAGATGTTATTGTTTAAAAGAAGGGTTCAGTCGTGATTAAACTTCAGAAACCTGAAATTATAATGTGTGTATTTTATCTCTTTTCTCCACTTGGACCAGGTTGAGGCTCACAAGTTCTTACATGTGAGTCGTATTCCGGGGATGGGTCGTATACCGAGCAAAATTATTAGACTGTGGGTTCTAGTGCCAAGACTCTTTAGTCACACATTTCTTAGGTTTTCTCAATTTGTGTTCTCTCAATTGGCAGTGTCTTTTCTTCACCACTTCGTCCTCTAGAACTTGTTTCGTTTTCTCCCGAAAACTCAATCTGAGTGATTCTGTTATACTAAAAGAGTTTGAGGTTTTGAACAACGGATCAACATCTTGGCACACGGGTAGTAACCCATAAGTGCTCTGTTGTTCTTCTAACTCAAGTCTGAGTCCGAAGAAGCTCAGCACAGTGCACAGGCTCTGTAGCACCGACAAGGATCCTTAAAATACTTTAGATTTTCAACTCCAAATGTTGCCCGGGCAGCGCCGTTAGGCTACTCTTTTTAATTTCTAACTGCAAAGAAATTTAAATTTTGTACGTGCGCAACACTGCACAAGGGCATCTCAACTCACTACCAAGAGACCAGGGGGAATTACTAGAATTTAAAGTCCACTTGAAAAGACTCAAGCCCTTTCCGGGGATTGAACCCGGAACCTCTAGCACTATAGGCGGACACCATGTCTCGATACCACGCAGCCCCTCTTGAACTATTCAATTCCCTCTATTCTACACAGGCACCAGTTAATTAATGTTTATAGTTAATCTGTAATTGTTTTAGTTATTCTCCGTGTTTCCGCTCCACACAGTAGTGTTGATTTCACACCAGAATCAACAATGATAATACGAATGTAAAACTTAATACATCATGTTATAAACAAGAGCAATAGCTAATACATCGCCTGCCATGAGTGTGGTGCCAGTTCAACTTCAATACAAAAATGAGGCAGGATTAGTACGAAAAATACATGCCAGTTAGGACAATAAAAATAAAAAAAAACCCACACAATTATAATCACTGTTCTTTAAGTGAATAAGCGATAACTAGGTCTCCTGTAAGTAATACCTCGTTTCTCGAACCTAATTCACTCATTTGTTGTACACACAGACACACAAACCAGCAGACACACACAGACACACGCAGACACACACACGCGGACAAAGACACATACATGCACAAACGCACGCAGGCGCAGACGCACACAGAGACACACACAGACACTCCCCGAGTGGGACAGATTCGTCTTTATCACAAAAACTAGCAAAGTAAATCAATGTCAGCAAACAGATCTCGCTGACCTTCTTAATTTATAACAGTAACATCTTGTTAGCACTAATTCAGCGGACCGAAAATCCAGCTCATGTTTTTTTTTTTTTTTTAGATTGAGCGCTATCCGGGGATTAATAACAATAGTACATGCCGTCTGGGACAAGTAGATGGTGGTGGTAGAATGCTCGCGGATCAAGTCACAAATTTTCGGAAACGTCCGGCTAATTTGCTCATGACTTGATGCGTTCGTGACCTCGGGTAACATTGTATTTATATTTATTTAACCGGAACGTAGGCGCTTACTTTCTGTGACACCTTCAAAACAATAATTAGTATTCTGACAATATACCATCCCTTGAAAAATAAACGTAGGGGGAACCTCTGAGGCCGTTAAATATGATGAAATAACCAAGTAACAGAAAGTGTATTGATCGGCACTCACAGAAAGAAGTAAAAAGATAGAAGAACACACGAGACAACATAAAGTTTGATAGCTATAGTTACCGTGCCGGGAATTGAACCTATCACCTCCAGACGGCGTGTGCACCTCGCCATGGATACAAGTGCACTAAGACATGGTCAACTAGGCACCCCAGTGCATGCCGTCTGGAGTTGACAGGTTTCAATTCCCGGCACGGTAACTATAGCTTTCGATTTTTATGTTGTCTAGTGTGTTCTTCTATCTTTCCACTTTTTTCTATGAGTGCCGATCAATACATTTTCTGTTACTTGATTAATTCATCCCTTGCAGCTCTTTTTCTTTGACGCAACGTTCCTAAATTTTATGCAGTACCCACCTCCCCCCTCCCATGCCACCTCTTCTGCCTCTTCTTCTACCAATGCCCCAACCCCTTACCTTCACGTACAATATCAAAGTTAGCTGAATAATATATACATGGCAACATAACTCCAACATTTGTTGGCTGTTTCTAAGCTTCACTAGACAACTTTACTTTCTGTTTATTCTAGAATATTGAATTCACTAGAATGATTGGACAAACTTTGCCCACGTGATTGGGAGTAATTGCTGAACATGCTGGGCAATTTAGTTGTTGGCAACACGAAAATCTAATTACACTAACGAGTTGCCACTTTAGAGAGCGTTCGTTTTAGTTAGGTCATTTAAGTTTATCGAGGTAGTTCCGCACGTATGGTATGCCTCGTCTGTCTCTATAACTGTATAATGTAATTTACCTCATAAACTTTTATTTATTTATTTATTTATTTATTTATTTATTTATTTATTTATTTTAGTTTGATTCCCACCGTTTTGGGAGCCGCGGTAACGTAGTAAAGGAATGCTAACACTGTGGGTTGTGGTTTACAGCTAAACTGCGATTTGTGTGCCTTTTGACCCAACACACCTGATTTCAGCAAAATCCCTAACTATTCGCCTTTTACAACATGCTTGTTGGGGAGGGGGTAGTCGAAGAAGAGGTGGGCAAAGAAGAACCTAGAATGACAACGTCAATAAATGGACAGGACTAAATTATCACACATTTATTCATCAAACGGAAGACAGAGAAAGATGACGGGTTTTATGTGCTAGTGCTTCTATTAATACACCTCCACGACCCTAATGGATCAAGGGTTGTATTATGTTATGTAACTTCGCTGCAATCGGGAAACTCCATATCGCGGTGCCAGCAAAAACCGCACAGAATGCCTATCGCTGCCCCATGTAGAAACAAACTAAACAGACTGTAGTCCTGGCAAAGCCAACATGCACAGGTATACTGTCGTGAGGTGAGCAGCCAACCCTACACAATGGACGAGTCGCGACTTTCACTTCCCTCGCGCTCAGTCAAATTTCAAACTTAAACTCGTCCGGAAGGGTATATACTCCTTTATATTGATATATACCTTTATCTGGTAATATATTCATTTCTAGACCCTCTAGTTGCTTTGATAAATCTTCATTTTCAAACTTGCAACTGTAGGTTGACGATTTCTGGTAATTTATTTAGAAATTCATGTAAACCGGTTTACTCCTTGGCAGGAATACAGGGGACTTCTTTCCTAGAGACGCTATGTTTGATTTTGAAAAAAAACATTCTTTCGCCTGATCCCAAAGTGTCAAGACGTGTATACAGTCTATGTAGAAATTGGCGCATTCAAAGTTCCATTTCTATCTTGGAAGATTTCCTAAGCTTGGGTAAGTTGATTATAGTTTACGAATACCATAATTGATGTCTTTTTAAAGTTGGCCACTGCTGCAGAGAGGGCAGAGTCAGCTGTGTGATCGCACAGAGTTCGGCCGTTCTTGATGTCCAGAGATCAATCTCCGAACATTAGACCTTCCCCTGTACAGACTAATTAGTTGGTGCTCTACATAACCCACACCATTTGTAAAGATATTAAACCCTACAAGTAATTATTCTCTGACCAGCCAAACGAAGCTTTGTGCCGCATAACAGAAATAAGGAATCTAGCTCATCTTTAACCGTGAAATACTGTGCTAGGCGCTCTGAGTCAAAAGTGTGTTTGACACAGATTCAGTGGGTGTGTATTGACCGGCCTGTGGAGACGGAATATATATATATATATATATATATATATATATATATATATATATATATATATATATATATATATATATATATATATATATATATATATATATATATATATATATATATACTAACTGTAAACATTGTATGTCTGCGAGTGCAGATGTAAA